AACCCACCAACCGACCTTCAACCCAACAACCAACCAACCCATTAACAGACCTAATCAACTAAGCAATTGACCTAACTGTCAATTAACCAACAGATAAATCATTTGACCAATCAACCAAATGACAAACCAATCATTTGGTTAATCACCTAACCAACTAATCATTCAGACCAGCAACCAATCATTCAACCAATCAACTTATAAATGCACCCACCAACCAACCGACCAATCATTCAAATTTCCAACTAACCAATCGACCAGTCAGAAGACATCTATCCATCCTTCCATTATCTTTACCTGCTTTTTCCTTTTCGGGTCGCCGGGGTCACTGGTGCCCATGTCCAGCAGTCACTGTGTGAGAGGCAGGGGACACCCTGGACAGGTCTCCAGTCCATCACAGGGACAAACGAGACAATTAATCATTCACTCTCTCTCACTCACACCTAGGGACAATTTAGAGAACAATCAGTCTAACATGCATGTTTTTGGTCTGTGGGAGGAAACCGGAGTACCTGGAGAAAACCCACGCATGCACGGAGAAAGAATGCAAACTCCACCCAGAAATGCCCCCAGCCGGGATTCGATCCGGCAACCTGCTCGCTGAGAGGCAGCAGCTCTACCATCTGAACCACCGTGCTGCTCAGTCAGAAGACAGCTCAAGTCAATCTCAGTTTTTATTGTTTTTGCTCTTCATGTGTGTTGTAGTTGAATTCTCAGCATCTTCCTGGTGTGTATTGCTGTTTGGTTCCTTTATCAGACGTCTACATGTTCTTGCAAATATGTTCCACTTGGGATACGATGGTGTAGTTGTGTGTTGTCCTCATCGGTTTGACTGTTTTGTTTTGTTGTCGTTTTGTCTTTTCAGGGTGCCGACCAACATGTCCACACAGGCGCCGACGTTCACTCAGCCGCTTCAGAGCGTCGTGGCACTTGAGGGTAGTGCCGCGACGTTCGAGGCGCAAGTTAGTGGTAAGAATGAGTCCCAACGATCAGAGGACGAGACCGTCTGTGGGTTCTCCAATAACATCCTGGTCCTTTTGTACAGGTTCTCCAGTTCCTGAGGTGAGCTGGTTTCGTGATGGCCAGGTTCTTTCCACCGCCGCTCTGCCCGGCGTTCAGATCTCGTTCAGCGATGGCCGCGCTGTTCTGAGGATCCCCGCTGTGACCGCCGCACACAGCGGACGCTTCTCTGTCAGAGCCACCAACAATGCTGGACAAGCCACGAGCACTGCTGAACTCCTTGTTACAGGTGAGATGGGGACAGGTGAGACAGCGAGAGAGAGAGAAACTTATGACAACAGATACTTTTCTGTCCCAGTTACCAATATCTTTGGGAAAACCACCTGCACTGCTGAGCTCCTTGATCTTGTGAGACTGAGACATTATGTCTCAGTCTCCTGACTTGTCCTAAGTGTCCCCCACGTTCTATCTGATAACAGCTGGCAGGTAAAGGTGTGGACACCTGTCCTGTCTTCTCATCAGCTGGATCTTTAACACTCCGTCAGTAGAACTTTCATCAAAAACAAAAAGGTCATTTGAAATGTACTCAAAGATCAGTTTGTCTCTGTTCATAAATCTAATGGATATGTCTACGTCCTCAACTAAAATGTTTGATGGACGTCTCCTCAAATTGTCTTTAAATCATGGATCAACCCAGTTTAGTGGTTCTAATTGAGTTTAACCTAAGTTTACATGTTCTGTGTGAAGCCGCTTGTCGAGTGCCGTTAAATGACTGTAAGTTCCTGTAAACTCCCTCTGATGACTAGAAGTTCAAACAGAACCGTCTGAGACTAAATTTAACCTGGCGTCAGCTGATTGGGCGTGGCCTGTTATTTAATCTGGAGATAAAACTGATTTAGATGCAGCTGCTGCAGCATAGTTTTCCTTAACAGGAATTCCAGTTTATTATCTGAACATTTGAACAGAAACCAGTCAGAACCTTTGATCTTTAATTCCTGCTGTGTTGATTCTTAATTCACGTTTTTTATGAAAGTTTCTCTTCCAGAGATTAAAATGAAACAACTAAAAACTCAAAATCTGAACGCTGAGTCACACCCTCCTGTTTCTTCTGCATCCTTTTACCAATCATACTGAACACATTCTGCTGTTCATATATCAAAACGTTCGGCTCGTTCAGGACATGGGTGCTCTGACTCCAAGTATTGACAACGTTTATACATTTGTTTGACTTTATTTACAAATATTTTCCTTCTTTTAATTCCTTCAAAAACATTGTTCAATGTTTTTCTCTTCAAAATCAGATTCAGTTTTGTCTCCAGTTTTGTCTCCTCGCTACTTTTAGCATTTACCTACCATCTTGCTAATTTTAGCTGTTAGCCAGAGTTTGCTAGTTTTTATTTCTGTCGGCTTGTTTTAGCTGAAATCACTGTTTCAGCTGTCCTTCAGCTCTCAGCTGTGTTTTTTCAGAATATGAATAAAGTTTTGTTTGAATTCTGGTTCAAACCTCCATCCAGTCTCCTGAGACGCAGAAGTTCTGAACCTGTTGGCCCTTCTGAGCTGCTCCAGCAGACCTGTTAGAGGTTCTGATCTTTGTTGTGTCTCTGCAGCGGAGACGGCACCCCCCACCTTCATCCAGAGACTGCAGAGCTCCTCAGTGAGGCAGGGCAGCCAGGTGAGGCTGAGCGTCCGTGTCTCAGGGATCCCCACACCTGTGGTGAAGTTCTACAGGGAGGGAGCTGAGATCCAGAGCTCTGCCGACTTCAGGATCCTGCAGGACGGAGACCTGTACAGTCTGCTGATCGCAGAGGCCTTCCCAGAGGATTCTGGGACGTATTCTGTGACGGCTGCCAACAGCAGCGGCCGGGCCACGTCCACTGCCGAGCTGCTGGTTCAAGGTGAGCTCAGGTCCAGTTCACCTGTGGGTGACAGGTCCGATCAGAACTAAAGCTCCAGGTGTTTCTGCTGCAGGTGAGGAAGCGGTTCCAATAAAGAAATCCAAGACCATCATGTCTACGTCCCAGATGGAGGCTTCAGAGACCAGAATGGAGCGGGTGAGTGGCGTCAGAACCGAACCTGATGTTCAGAGGTACTACACTGTGTTTGGGTCTGAAGGATGTTTGGTCTCAGTGTGCTGGTTCTGGTCCACAGAAAGTGGAGGCCAGTTTTCAGGCCACCACCATGATGGAGATGCACGTTGAAGGAGGAATGATGACTCAGCACATAGCTCATAAAACCCCCCCACGGGTCCCCCCAAAGCCCACCTCCCGGTCCCCGCCGTCTTTGGTTTCCAAGGTAACGGGAGGCCGTCAGCAGTCCCCATCCCCTGTCAGACATGTGAAGGGGCCGACGCCCACACCTGTCAGGTACGTGCCCCGCCCCTCACCTGCAGCCTCAGTAGAACCCGTCTTAACAAGATGTTCTGGACTAATTCCGTTTTTTCTCTGCAGACCCGTTTCTCCTTCCAGCAAGGTGTCAAGTTTCCAGATCAAACCCGTCAGAAGTCCTGTGATGACCAGGAAGCAGGTGAGACCAGGTCCAGATGGATCGGTACCAGGTACCGATGAGATTCAGGACCAAATGAGATACAAACATGAAGATTTGTGACGACTTGATCTGACCCATTGTTCAGTTTAATGTTTAAAACCTTGAAGACGTGTTTCTGCTTCATCAAGTAATTAGAGAATCTTCCAGAACCTCCAGGACCTGGTTCTGCCTGTCATTGTTTCTACATCAAACACTGATTGTATTTTCTGAACACTGTGATGTCGGTTCTTTAGACTTTGGGTTTAGTAACGTTTCAAACCAAATGCATTCTTTACAGATTTAGTTGTTTTTGAGTTCACTGAGCATTTTTTTTGTTAGAGGGTTAGAAGTGAACCCAGTAGAACCTTCAGGCCCATATTTGTTCTACTGACCGGTCCAGCAGGTCAGATGTTTTCCTCTGGATGTGTTGATGATCTAGAACCTTGGTTCTGCTGCAGGTTTCTGCCGCTGCAGAGGTTCTGCCTCCCTGGAAGCAGGAGGACTATGTGGCTGAAGGTTACACCACCATGAGCACCATGAGCACCATGAGCAGCAGTGGCACAGCCCAGCTGCATCTGGAGAAGCAGTGGGAGCACCAGGTGGTCTCCAGCATAGAGGTGAGTCTCCTCTTCATCAGGAGGAGGTCTGATGTAGACCTGGCTCCGGATTCTGGGCTTTTATTGGTAATAAATCCTTTCAGTCTCTGCAGCCTGATGCAACGACCTCTGACCTTCTGGTCCTATAATCTTTTCATCAGCTTATCAGTGGTAGGGAGGTTGTCCTCCAATCAGAGGGTTGTGGGTTTGATCCCCTGAGGTGAGCTGTGATGCATTAGAAGTGTGTGGGTAAAAAACTAATCCAGTGATTTAGAAGTGGAGATAAAACTATTCTCATCCGTTGGGAGGAAGTCATTTAGCCTTTTCACGAGGAGTAACTAATATATTGGTCATACTCAACGTGTCAGCTACCCATAATGCACCTGTGTCCTGGCAGGTTCTGTCAGAGGAGGAGCTTCACTGTCTATCAGTAACTTCAGCTGTCAGGTTCCTCAGGACACAATGGTGCAAAGGTCAAATGATGAAGCTCCGCCTCTTCCTCATGAGGCCATTTGTTTTCCGTCAAAGACTCAAACTCATGTTTCAGTCTTCTTCTGTTTTTCCTGTTTCTGGGGTGGTCCTCCCTGAGGTCTGTGTGCTACTCATTGTTTCTTCAGGCTGAGGGGGAGAAAAAGGCCGAGGCGGTCGCCACCGTGGTGGCCGCCGTCGACCTGGCTCGGGTCCGGAAGCCCGTTTTTGAGGAGAGCGAGCAGTCAGAGGAGGACAAGGCTTTGGAGGTGAAGGAGCTGGAAGCAGCATCTGCAGACAAACCAGCTGGTGCTGAAGAGCAGAGATGTGTGCAGGTCCAACAGGTTCAGAGGAGGACTGAGGTCTCCTCCCATGTGGACTCTGGTGTCTCCTCGTCCACAGTCCCACATTTCACCGTCTCTAAAGTTTCTGTCCCTAAACACGAATCGAGCCACGAGGTAAGAGGATCAGCTGCAGACCCATCTTCGCTCCTGAACCTCCATCCCATCTTTAACAAACACACATTTAACCAGTGTGGTTCACCTTGTGATCCAGCCTACACCCTCCTGGTTCTGATTCTGCAGCATCTTGACCCGTCAGCATCACTCTGACCCTCCTCCTGATTCACCACTTTTGATGTAGTTTTTAATATTTCTTTGTTTTTAATCAAACTTTACTCAGAAGAAATTGGGGAAAATGTTCTGGTTTTCCCTTTTTTAACTTTTAATTTCCCGTCAATCTTTATAAAATCAAGATGTTTCATGTTCTGTTGCATCAGCTTCATTCCAGTTAAAGATCTGTTGCTGCGTTTCAGGCTGGAACAGATCCAAAAGGCTTTTCATGACATAAAAATGTCAGACAGAGATAAAAGTCAGCAGGTTTATGTCCTGAAGGTCATGTGACCTCACTGCTCCTTCTGTTGTGATCTTTATAACGAGTTCTAATTCTGGACCTCCCGACCCACAATCAGAACTGAAGAAGCTTTTTGGATTTGAGGTGAAACATCTTCAAGGAACAATTCAGTGCAGTTTATTTCTGTAGCTCCAAGTGTCAACAGAAGTCGTCTCAGGGCACTGAACAAAAACATTCACATACATTAAAAAAAACTATTAATAAAAGTTATTTATGTAAGGAAGCAGCAGATTGCAAGACAAAAGAAGAAGATCAAAGGTCTTCAGGACACACAGTACACCAAGGTCTGAGCAGGACTGCCATGATCTCTTGTCCCTCAGACGGTACCGTATCATTCTGGTCTAGAGGCGGTGCCGACTTCTCTGGGCTCTATCTGGGTCGGACCATCACACAGAGGAAACCTGGATTCCAGATGTTTGTTGGAAGAAATGGACCAAAGAGGAAAAGGAGCATTCAGAGCGTCATCAGCAACAAATCCTGGTTCTGTATCAGTTCTGAACCTGGATCAGGATTCTCTGATGGGAGAATGAGAGAAGCTTCGGTTCCAAAGGTTCCATCGCATGGACCTTGTGCAGGAACATTTAACGGTCAGATGAGACAGAAGTAGTCTCAGCCAGAGAAGACACCCATCATCATGGGATCATGGGACACAGAGTTTGATTTGGTGATGGCAGCATCCTGTTCTGGGACTGTCTAACTCTTCAAAGAAAACAAATCCAAAAGCCCGGTTCTGTAAAGGTCTGGGCTTGGAACAGGGTTTTGTGAGTGTTGGACAACTTGATGTGTTTGCAGGGACGAAATAAGACCTGAAACTCTTCATCATTTGATCTCCTCTTCATCAGAATGGCTTAAGGTGTTGAAGGAACCTGAACATTTCAGAACAGGGAAAACTGGACCAGGACCTGGTTTTTAAAGAGTTCTCCAGCCTTAAATGCAGATATTAACTAAAATGAAGCTGATGAGATAAACACTGAAATATTTTCATTTTCTCTAACAGGAAATAAAAGTTAAAGGTGTTTAAGACCACCTGTGTCTCTTTAGTTTCTTTAGTTTCCTCACCGTCCTGACTCTTTCTGACCCAAGTTGGACTCGAGTCTGGCTGCCTGCCTCCTTTTCACTGAGTGCATCTTCATCACTCACTAATCCTCGGCAGAGCGTGGACTTCCTGTTTGTTCTTGACGATGGTTAACCCTGCTCTTATTGGCCGGTTCAGGTGTCCATCGCCGGTTCGGCCTTCGCCGTTCTGCACAAAGAGCTGTCCTCCCCCTCTGCTACCAGGAAGATCATCAAGCCCGTCAAGTCTCCCAGCCCGTCTCGCAGGGCGGTGGTGGAGGCTAGAGTGACGCCGGAGCCCCTCCCACCACTGTTCAAAGATGTCAGATATCAGAGGCAGTTTGAGGGCGGGGCTTATGCAGTGAGTGAGGAGGAGTTTGAGGACTGGGAGCCTCAGGTTGGTCCTTCACTCTGTCCTCCTTCGTCTTCTCCCTTTAACCTTCACCTCCGTTCTCCTACTATAACGCACCAACCAATCACATGCAGCCCTTCATGAAGACTCCTCCTCTTCCTCCTCCTGTCCTCATCCTTCTGTCCCTCTGCAGGGTTTTATCTGTCCTCACCAGCTTCCTCCCACCATCTTCATAGAATGCGCACAAATGCCTCGTTTTTTCTTCTTCTTCACTCTTAATGTTTGTTTTCAGGAGTCAGCTGCCGTCCCAACAAGAGCCCACGAACCTGCGATTCCTCCCACTGTTGTTGCTGTGAGTAAACTTCCTGGTTCTCTTCTTTTCAAAATAACTCCACAGGTGATGTTCTGTGTATGAGTCTGTTGGTCCAGGTTTCTGATGGCCTCTGTCTTCTCTCAGGGCCTGAAGAATGTGACGGTGACAGAGGGCGAATCAGTGACCCTGGAGTGTCAAATCAGCGCACAGCCCGCCCCCGTCATCCTGTGGTTCAGAGAGGACTACAAGATCGAGAGTTCAATCGACTTCCAGATCAGCTACGACAGCGGCTTGGCCCGGATGATGATCCGCGAGGCGTTCGCCGAAGACAGCGGTCGCTTCACATGCACTGCCACCAACGAGGCAGGAACCATCAGCACCTCCTGCTACCTGCTCGTCAAAGGTACCAAAGTCCAGTTTAAGTTATTTTTAAAACACTTTAGGAAGAGTAGAAATTAATTCAATTTAATTCAGTTCATTTCTGTAGCTTCAAGTCACAACAGGTATACAGGTCTATGTGTACTTTCTATAGTCCAGGTGTACTTTCTATAGGAGGAAAGACAAAAAAAAAAACTTGTTAAGATAGAAATAATTACAAATACAAACCGGTAGAGTAGAGCAAGTACAGACAGCAGTAGAGTGAGGAAATGTGGTCAATTTGTCCTCCAGCAGTCTAAGCCTATAGAAGTATAACTAAGGGGTAGCTCAGGAAACCCAAGCTGACACTAACTATAGGATTTATCAAAAAGGAAAGTCTTAAGCCCAGTCTTAAAACTGGACAATGTGTCAGTCTCATGGACAGAAACTGGAAGTTGGTTCCACAAGAGAGGAGCCTGAGAACTGAAAGATCTGCCTCCCATTCTGCTTTTGAAAACTCTAGGAACCACAAGTAAACCTGCAGTCTGAGAGTGAAGTGCTCTGTTAGGAAAATATGGGACAATAAGATCTGTAATATAAGATGGATCTAGGTTGTTGAGAGCTTTGTAGGTTAGAAGTAAGTTTGAATTCAATTCTGAGTTTACAGGGAGCCAATGGACAAAATTAGTTAATAAATTTGGAGCATTCTAGATGAAACAGCTCTATCTATTTTCTTGGTTCATGGTCTAATCCAAACAGGCTGTCTGGAAGAAATTCAGAATAATTTATCCTGAATAAACAGTTTAAAGATTTTCAGGTCATAACTTTGATATTCATTGTATTTCAGTGTCAGAGGAAATAGAGAGCAGAGAGGAGATGGTGGCCGTCACAGAAACTGGAATTACACAAACGTGAGTTTTAACCAGCATTTTAAACCTTGGAGTTTGTTGGAGCAGCTATTAAGACTCATAGTTGCAGGGTTTGACTCAGCTGCTGTTTCTTGTCAGTGTTGCTGTTGAAATGAAGGAGCAGACGGAGGTGAGCGCAGGAGAGTCTGCGGCTCCCTTCTTCATCAAGAAACCCACGCCCCAGAAACTGGTGGAGGGAGGAAGTGTCATATTTGAGTGTCAGGTTGGAGGAAACCCAAAACCTCACATCATCTGGAAGAAGAGTGGCGTTCCGCTCACTACCGGATACAGGTACACACACATCAGTGCCACAGACCAGATGGGTACACATCAGCAAACCAAGAACCAGTCAGTTCTAGGTCACCATACCAAGAACCAGTCAGTTCTAGGTCACCATACCAAGAGCCAGTCAGT